CTGGCGAAGGAAGCTTCTTATTTTGTTTATATATTATGCTTATTTATGTTAATTAAATCTCATTTCTGAAAATCGAATATTTGCGATTGAATCCCGCAATTGCGATTGATTTGATGACCTATTGAAGACGCTGCCTTCGTTCGCGGTTACTTCAAGAGAGAAAATCTGTCTGCTAACAATAAGTGTAACATATATGTAGACAATACGAAACGTCTTCATCAATCAATGTTGTAGCACAGTGCGGAAGGTGACTGACTCAAGAGCCATCAGGGGTTTCAGGTTCAATCAAATCCAGCGGTGGTAAGCAAATTTTCTAAGTACAATATAAATTTATTTAATTAAGTTTTTGCACGTAATCAAGATTTTCAGCAATAAAATAATGTTCCAAAAAGTTGTCTACAAGGGATGTTTTTGTGCGATTGAATCATTTTTAAATCGTTGGTACAATGTTGGCTAAATGTAACATTCAATATTTCACCAATCATATGGCCGTCGGTGAACAAACGTGACGCCGCCAACATCGGTCCATTGTTATATGTTTTAGACATATAATATAAGTTGGGCAATCAACATAGATCCAAAATCAGACCAATTTTTATGTGCTGCTCGAGTTTGATATTCCCACACGTATATTTTCCGTTAATTAAATCTATCGCCATTACAACGATCGCACTGTTATGATTTTATTTTATTGTAAATAATACCAGACTGATCCGAAGTGCGCACTCGTCGATATACTGAGACCTTCAAAAGGGACAATTAATAGCTTCCGCCATAGTTGAAATATTTTTAATAAAATTGCGTGCGTTTGCGATGGAAAACATTTTACCATTTTTATTTTATTTACTGATGCAACAATTCGGGCATATTAATTATGGATTCCATTCGGAATTGTTTAGTTATTTCTATTATTTGTTTTTTAGAGACAAAAAAACAGAATAATTGCGATCGGAATCCATTCCGAAAAGTACGTTTATACATTTTTTAAGCTGATATATCAAATTTAATTATATTTAAAATTTTTACATTTTGTGTATTTTGGGTCGTAAAAAAGATTTTTCGTCAAAGTAGTAATTCTTAAATTTAATCACTTTTTTATTAATCTATATTGTATAGATAATCTATACCCTAATCCATACCTGGAAATATTGTTATTTTACTGAAAAGTGAAAATATAATAAAATGTTACTGGAAACGTATTTGAAATTCTCTCTCAGTTGACCCCTAATTTATTATTCCATTAAAATTTCAGTAAAAATTCAGTTTTTTATTCAATTTAGTAAATTTGATGATATCTAACATTTATTAAACAAATTTGTTGTTACTTTTCAAAAGTATTTTCTGTTCCAATTATCGTGCGCAGGCGCTTTTTTATTGATTTTCGCTGCCTTTTGCCTCCGCACAGAGGAGCCACTGTGCCTGATGGTAGCGACTCTAGTTTGAAACAAACACTCCTCTTCTTTACCATACGAGAAGAATGAGATGCTTGGTGATAGCGCAAGAGGGCGACTCTTTTCCCGGAGAGTCCCCCAAGTGGTCCACTAGGTTTTACCGAGTGAGTCAGTGAGTTCGTAGATTTGTTCTTTGTAGTTGATATATTTTGCAGTTATTTATATATTTTATTCTCCTCTCTTCAACGACTAACATCTTTCATCTCTTCCTTTCTTTAATGTTTAATTACACACCATACGTATCTAATTTCATTTAAAGTGGAGAAAGTACAATATAGTGCAGCTACAAAGAACAGACATTACGGAGGCTTTCCTCGCAAAACTAATTATACGAATTCATAAATTTTCATATTTGCATTCATGAGAGAATTCTGTTGTTATAATAATAGCGTTTTTTCTTGGCTGCACTACCGCCCTGTACTGCCCTGCACTACCCAATAGCGTTCCACTAGTGTTGCACTAGTAGGCGATAGTGCAGCCAAGAAAAAACGCTATAAGTAAATCATACCCCTGCAAAATCAAATTTTTGAGAAATACTCGCATTTCAATGAAAAAAGAGCATTTTAAGTTTAAATAAATGACATATATTTATCTCTGGTAAAAAAATCAAAACTTTTCGTATTATATTAATTAAAATTTTCATAGAAATAATGAAATTTTTTAGATCTTAATTAAATTCACACCAACACACATCTTTATAGAAATTTGAATAAATATGAGAAAATCCGCGCAATTTATTAGAATTTAAGCTTTTTCATACAAATGCTGAAAGTATTAATTAATTTAAAAATCTTTATCCAATTATTTCTGACAGTAATCTAAAGAAATTTTACATATTTTTTCCTAAATCTAAATATCTAAAATATGACAAATTCTTAGAAAACTTCTGAGAAAATATAAGAAATCTTTCCACGCGCTACATAAGGTCAAATAATTAACATCAAGATTGCAGGTGCACAAATACGAGCACGCCCAATTCTGATAGGGTGACGGGGAAGATGTAAATGTGGATTTCCATGTGCGGAAGAGCGGGGACCACGGACCATGCGACCGCCTTAACGCAGAAAGACAGAAGACAAAAAGAGAAAGAAAGAAAGAGAGAGAGCAGAGTGGAGCAGAGTGCGCTGCGCCGCTGCAGTGGTATTCGCGAGTCGCGCGTACTTATATATCACGCATTTCGCGCGTGTGGTCGTGTGCTTCGTAATGCCTGTACGACGGTTACGAACGCGCGAGTATCACGCGTGCGAGTCCTTGACTGTGGCACGCGCGCGATAAGATCGACGCGCGGTCGCCGGCGTGAAATCTCGGACAAAAGTCGCCGATGATCCCTATCGTTTACCCGGCGGCGGCAGCGGCGGCGGCGGCGGCGGGAGGTACAGACGAAAGAGACAGATAGGGCAGACGGGGAGGGAGAGGAGTCAGGAGAGACCGTCGCGGCCGTCGCAGGTAGACGGTAGACGCGAGTGAAGTTTAACGAGGAGACGAGGAGCGAAAGACTCTCTCGCGGGGTGTGCTATGTCCTTCGGTCACGGTCACCCTCAACAACGGCGACGACGACGTTCGCGATCGTGAAGGGACCCTCGGAGCATCAGCGGAGCAGCCGTGGCGGCACAAGGGGGGGGAGATCTTCCGCCCCCTACGCGAGCCAGACGCCGGTAATGAGTGTTTACGCCGCGAGCACGCCGACAGCGAGCACCGCGATACCGCCGGCGATTAGCGCGACGGTAACGACGACGTCGCCGATAACAACGACGTCGACGTCGACGACGACGACGACGCCGTCGGCAACGACGACGATAGCTACGGAGATCGCGTCAACGTCAACGACGACGACGACGACGACGGTGACGGCGACGACGGCGGCGGCGGCGGCGGCGACGGTGACGGCGACGACAGCGGCGACGGCACCGGTTACGACGACGGCCACGTCGTCCACGGCGACCGCCGCGTCGCCGGAAGCAGCGACCGGCTGGATCGAGTTCTGCGAGAGACACGCCCGCGCCTCAGCCTCCGACTTCGCCAAGGCTTTCTGCGCCTACGTTAGCTTGAACCTGCCCGAGAGCACCCGCGCCAATCTCTCGCATCGCGACTTCCTCCGCAAGTTCGTCGAGAGCTTCTGCGAGCACTTCGAGAGCGAGTACCTGCGGCAGAGCGTGAGGTGCGAACGCGCGGCCTTTTTTTTTTACGCACGGCCGTCTCGCACGGCTGTCACGTAGAGTATAGAGCGGTAGTGGAGAGATCATTAACCTATACTACATTTACGCGAGCGTTACTTATTCTGTAGTAACTTACGATATATCACTCGTTTACGCGGAGTAAATTATCGTAAATTACTACAAAATCCCGTTTGCGCGAAGGAATTACGTCGTAAGTTACTACAGAAGTAACGCTCGCGTAAACGTAGTAAGTACTAGTCTCGCACGTCAGGAAGTAAACATTGGAGTAATCGCCTGAATGGCGAACGATCGGAGGAAAGGCTTGAGTTTCGTGCGCAGCTTTCGGTTAAATAATAATTTGTGAAGGAAAATGAGAAATAAGTTAGTTTGCAAATTAGGTGCTTGTGTTTGTTATAAATTTCACAAAAATGTAGAAAATACAAAGATATTTTAATGGCGTTAAATGGCGTATAAGAAGAGGATAGAAAAACCTAGAATTTAACTTCTTATTTTAAACAAGGAATTGTTTATAATTTTAGTTTTATTACTTATATGTCATAAGAACGTATACATTTTATTGAATAATTGTTCTTTTTCGAAAGCTTTTATGTTATTCGTATAATAGTAACGTTGTTCTTGTATCTTTTTTAGATCGCTATCGTTGCATGACACTAGGAGCGTGATAGCCAATGAAAGAGACGTAAACGTTGCGAGCCAAAATACTAATGCACCGGTGCGTGCGTCCTCGCACGAGGAATTCAGCGACTATTCTGAACATGACGGGGAGGCAGTGTCGCCGAAGCCCGCCCACAAACCTTTCTTCCGCAGATTGTCCTTTAAGGGACTTAAAAAGGGCAAGAGTTTCTTCCACAAGCAACAGAGCGACGAGGTCGAATTGTCCTACAGTGAACACCGCAAGGATAAACACTCCAAGGCAAAGTTGTCGAAAATCGTGGTGGAATGCCGTAAGGAGGGAATCGTTAATTCCTTGATGGGGGAGAACATAGACGGGACGCAGAAATGGGAAAAGTCACGGCTAGCTTTGATAAAGGCCATCGGTGGCTACATGTTGGAGTTCTATTCCCCGCCGAAGGCAGTGAAACCGCGGAGCGGCGTCTTTTGCTCGGCGATAACGGAAGCGAGGGAGACCACGGCGCTGGAAATGCCGGATCACGAGAACACGTTCGTCCTGAAGACCCAAAATATGGAATTTGTCATCGAGGCGCACGACTCGAACGACATGAAATCGTGGTTGGCGACGATTAGGTATTGCATGCGAACGGTGCAGCAAAGCTCCAGCGTTCCTGGCTCCGGACCGGGTGACTCTTTAGGCGATTCCCTGGGCCACGGTTCGCTGGCTATCGGATCCGACAGTGATCGATTACGAGCCAACTCGGCGAGTAAGAGCTTCCGATCCGCTGGTCATGAACACGGCGACGACTCGCAGGCCAATCCGCCGGAATTACCTCCGAGACTCCATATGCGCAGCAGTAGTAATCTAGAATTATGTTCCTCTCAGCAAGAAATCGAGCAAAGTAAGGAATAAATTTGTGCGAATTACAAGAATGAACGTCGTCAGGCAAGTATAATTCAGAATAAATAAAAAAATTCATACATTTGTTTGCCCGCAGTGCCTGCTAATGAAGGCGAGCTGGATTTATCGAGTAGCTTACGAGAATACCCGTGGTTTCATGGCACCCTTCCTCGCTCGGACGCTGCGCAGCTTGTGTTGCATAGTGCAGCTAACGGTCACGGGGTGTTCCTGGTTCGGCAGAGCGAGACTAGAAAAGGCGAATTTGTGTTAACTTTTAATTTCCAAGGAAGAGCAAAAGTAACTACAGAGATCATCTTCAACGCTTAATAACACGATGAATAATTAAACAATGTTTCATCATTAAACACGTATTATTTTCATTACAGCATTTACGGATGACGTTAAATGATCAAGGTCATTGCCGAGTCCAACATCTATGCTTTCCTGCGATATACGATATGCTCGAACACTTTCGCCAGAATGCGATACCACTCGAATCTGGCGGGACTGCGGATGTTACTTTAACAGAGTATGTAGTGGCGACGAACCACGCATCGCGATCGGGACACCATAACGTGGCGAGTGGCTCGAATGTGCAACAGTCGCAAGAGAGGAGACCTCCGGCAGCTCTGGAGCCCAGAGAAGTAAGAGTCTGCAGTGGAAGTCTAACTCCTCTTGTGTGAGCGCGAGTGGCCAACACCCACAGTCTGAAGTCTAATCTACAGACAGTGAGTAGATAACCAGCTAAAGAGCGCCCATATTTATCGTATGGTCGATGATGACAGGACAGATTTAATCGGTGTCTGCATTTGTGTAAACTCGCTGGAAACTTGATGGAAATTTGTGTAGATTGATATACAAAGTTAAATGCAACGCAACCCCTATTTATGTATTCTTTTTTCCGCAAAATCTGATATTTGTTATAATTTATTTAATATAGTATGTTCAAAAAATATATACTCCAAAAAAGGGCAAATAATGTGTTATTAAAAATTCCTTACTTTCATATGTATACTTTTTCTAATTTTCTTATCCAAGGTATGTTATGTTACAATACACTTTTATATCTTTTACTTATTTATTATTTTTTAAATAATGATTTGATTAAATTTGTATATCATTCGCCTAAATATGCAAAATTATCGCCATGTGATGAAATTTTTGTGAAAAGTTTTGAATGATATAAATGTGTGAGAATTATATAGTATTCAGAGAAACATGACCGTGGGACAAGGAGCTCGCTTTTAGTAAAAGCTTTTTCTTGAAATTTCTGGTGTGCTTCATTATGTTATAAGAGATTTATGTTACAACCTTGCTTTAAGCAATAAAGGAGCGTCCAGAAATCATTATATCCAATTAGCACCCTATATAATTTTAAATTTTATACTTTTAAAATTAAATCACTGGCAACATTAATATTAGGAAGTTATATAAAAGCACCACTGTGAATAGAATAATATTAATATTCTGGACGTGAAATATCCTATTTGCTTATATGTATTTCTGCAAAAATGTTAGAAAAATTTTCGTCAATATTTCTTATGGTGAATCTAGATCATGTAATTTTTTTCAATTATCACAAAATTAAATTTCTTTTATACCGTAACCAACAATTAGTTTTATTTCCTGAAATATTGACAAGTCTTTTTCTGACATTGAGATATGTGTATATTTTATATTAGTTCTAACATCCAGAAACTTTAAGAGAAACTTCTGATAAGATAGCAAGATTAAGAATATTTATCGATACTTAACGAGATGTTAATAAAATAGGTACGCACTTATGGTGGTTCTATAAGAACGCGTGTGGAATCGTTGGAGAGACTAGAACAACAGAGCACCATTGCGGAACAACAAGGCTCGGCTTCGTCCACTGGCAGAGCGGTTCAGAACACTTACAGCTTTCTCTGACGCTGGATTCACGCTAACCCGCCATCAGGCTATAATCCGGTCAGTCCGACGGACTGAGTGTGAACAATATGACGAAGTAATCGCAGTTTTTATCTCCAGAATTGCGTCACGCCATATACCACCGTTTGCGACAAAGCGCATCTCTTTACTAGTACAAAAAAAAAATTGCATTTTTCTTTTTGGAATATTACCATCTTCCAATCCATTGACTCTTGCGTTCAGCATTCGAGATTATACTTTTATGATTTACATCGCAACGTGTTTGCATCGCATTTACATCGAATACTAAGAAATAGAATAGATTACCATCAAAACGAGTCTCAGTTATCGATGATCATTTCGCATAACGTCGTGCTCAAATTATTCCCACACCCGTTGATGCCGTAGCATTCCACGGAGCTCTCTCGCGCAGGTTTGCATGTATCTGTGACTCGTCTTTTCACCAAGACCGAACTAATAGCCTCCTCATATATTTTTACTGAGAGAACGGATATATATTTTAATGAAAGATCTCGAGTCTCGTTACACCGCTTAATTAATACACATAACATTGTAAAAACATATGTATATGTAATTGGGGAATGATAGTCTCCGAAATTGCGAATTACGGACTGCCAGTATATTGCAATCCCCATATGTGTCTTTCGGATCGTCCCCGATCCGATTGACAAATGCGCCAAAGCTAAAGCTAAAATACTTTAAACCCCGCTTCGTCACGAGTACAATTTGTTATACAAAATTGCATTTCAGCCGCATTGTTGTCACTAATCCCAATGCTTCGTTTGGGCGAATAAATGTAAGAGACATGGCCCTATAACCATCGATAAGCGTAAAACAAGCTGCGATATTTATAAATTACCCCGGTCCTCGTCGGTGTAAAAATCAGTGTATGAATTTCCTCCCCCCTTCCCATGTGTCAGGCGAATAACAAGAAGGGAGAGAAAAAAGGATACAACTATGCTATCATTCGGGATGAACGGAAAGGACAAAGCTTTTCGAGCTACAGTAAGTATGATCCCATCGTGTATCCCTGCGGAAAAATAGCAAAAACCATATTCGATAGGCGTATCGAAAAGTGTATTAACAAATTGTGTAACGACTAAGGATTATCACTAACATCATAGAGCAATATGACTGAGTGTGCAAAATTAGACTATAGACAAATGTATGGATGAGTGGTACACGCATGATAGAGAGCGATGATCGACAGAGTATCCGATTAGATGAAAACGAGCAAAGCAGGTATTCTCTCAGTACGAGCCGAACTGATTACTGTGATAAGATCTCTCATTCGCACAAGGCATCCAATAATCCCGTCGCCGTCCGTGCAAGTCTATATGTTCTCATTCGTGAGAACAATCGTATAGATACAACAGGGACAAATTTTATCACACATTTGTACATTTCACTCGCTACTCGCCATCGAAAAGTTGTAGGAATAGAAAACTTCCGTCGCGGTCCCAAAACAGGAAGAGAAGAAAAAACGTAGGGAAAATTTATAGTCGATCTGGAAAAAAAACTGTATCACAAGTTCATCCTTTAGCCGAAATGCTCGCAAAATCCATGCTGTAAGTAGGATGTAAGCTCGTTCCTCGCGTAGCCGCAGCCTGAAAGGACAGTTCTGAGGTATACAGAGAGTTTGACAACTACTAGGCATTCAACCGTAATACTTTTCTACCTTATGTCAAGATGCAAGGATGAAAATAAAAACTGAATCCCCAGAGAGTGTTTATTTATAGTACTTATTAGATTGAAGAATTGCATAGGAAGATGATAATATTTTATCATTTTCCTAGTAATTACATACAATCATTAGTTATTTAACTTTCAAAAGGGTGTATTTACGTGATTAAAATTAGTTCACAGGAATATTTTCACGAATTTTTTATTTACAATTGAAAGAATTTAACTTCTGAGCTATTCTTGTTTATAATAAAGAATCAAGTACATGTGCAAAGTAACTTTTCTGGTAAATATAGCCCTAGAATATGATTTTTAATAACGACAACGCGTTTAATGTTTCGAGACAAATATTTGTGTTTTTTTAAAAAAAGCGGCGGTCCTACGCAAAATTAATGGCCGCGTTCAGCAGACACAACTGTTGAGTTCGTCTTATCAACGCTCTGCGTTGATTGGTTGGTTCTAAAAGTAAGAGCCAATCACGTTTGACTGCTACTCAACGGCTTGGTCTGCTGAACGCGCCCAATATGAAATATCTTTGTGACATCGACTTGTAAACCGGATATTCTCTCGCAGATTTTTTCGGGATTGTTTTTATCGAGCATGGTTACCAGTCGTTTCGGTATAAATAGTAAATACAGTTACTTTGCAATTAGAAACGGTCAGCGCACGATATATGTATGTACATACATACGTTATCGTTTACGGTACAGCTGCAGATAAGATTCTGTTGCATAAACATTTTTCACAGCGACCCCACATCCCACTTCGTCCACCCGATTTGGAAAATAACTTGTTTGACACGTCGATTCCCGGAGACGTATCTCGTTATTATGGCAGCTCAGGTAACAACAAAACGATATTCTATAGTCTCAAATAAAATTAAAACAATGTAGACGACGTTTGACGAGCGATCTGTTTACAAGGTGCACGAATTCAGTGTTGAAATGACGTGCGAGGGATGCTCGACTGCTGTGCAAAACGTGCTCAGGAAAAAAGCAGGTACTTGAGAATATTTGCGATCGAAAGTGTTTCCGTGTGTGTATGCACGCTTGGGTTCCACAAATATATTATTTTATCGACACCTTTGAAAACGTTAATTCTGCAAAAATTAACGAAACGTATGAGATGAGGTTAAACACCTCTTTCTATGTTTGACACTTCCACCTCTTTACACATTGTGTAAGGAGGGTGGAAGTGTCATAAAAATTATACAATTATAATTTTAGTAAAAATATATCGTATGATACCTAGGTGTCGACGACATCAAGATAGATCTACCAGGGAAGAAGGTGCTCGTGACTACTGCGCTTGGTTCGGATGAGATTTTGGAAATAATCAAGAAAACGGGAAAAACATGCCAATTTTTAGAGACCCATTGAGGAAAAGGAGTGATTTGAAGAGTGATGTGATTGTAACAGGTGCTGCTAAATATGTCAGGCATATATTATAACAAAGATATTTTTTACATTGTATCTTTCCTATAAAAAGAAAAAAAGTCACACTTTAATTACTTATTCGTATATATACAAAAGTACAAAAATAGCGTATTTATGGTCATGCATAAAATGTCTTGTATTATCTTAAGCAGTTTTTATTTCTCGACTTCGTCGATGTTGAATACTAGGTGATATTCTTGTCATCTTCGATCTCGTTACAATGATTTTTGTATAATACATGTACGTTTTAATTGAGCAATTGCAAATATTTCTGTAAAACTTCTATTGTAAAACTTCTACTCTACATCGAATCAATGCAAAATCGGAAAGCGCAATAGGCAACATACATATACTGATACATATATTGTACACTTGACATGGAATTGGTCGAGACATAGAAATCTTACAGAAATATTCGTAATTAATATAAAAACAATTTTATGATGAGGTAAAAATGATATCAATCAGTATTCAATAATTCATCGACGTCAAATTCACGTAGATTTGATTAATCATTTCTGACTGAGTATCTATAAAATAAGGCATTGGAATACTAGTTGTCAGTAAATTTTCATGATCTTTGTAATATGCACGATTGATAAAACTTATCAATTATAATCCCGTTTTCCATATTAAGTCAACATTGCACACATACATACACATCAGACACACGTTATTCCAAGTGATTGGAATGCTAAGCTAACAGCTAAGGAAGCTTGTAATTAAGCGTCTCTTCTAATGTTGTCATTCGTCGTTCTAGTACATTAACAGTATCATGTAATGATTGTACTTGATCACAGAGTGCTTCTACTGTTTTAATGGATTGATTAGACAAAGGTGCATCAGGCGATGTCTGATCTTGTGGGATTAGCACATTTGCTACACAATCTCTTTCAGAAGATTCAATATTCCTCACGTTGACTATTTCAGGTTTAGTCTTTCTTGTTGATGATCCTTCACAAAATCTGTCGTCTGATCTCAGATGCAATTTTTTAACCGTGTCTGATAAATACTGAAATAAAATATCTTATAAAATTAACAGTTCCTAATATAAAGCTTTTTTAATAAAATGCAATCGTTTCTTTGTATAGTTTGATAGATTATACTTGCACATTAAATAATTACTTTTTCTTGGCTCCGCTTCTTGTGTACAATTTCTTTACGTTCGTCGCTGTTCGATTTTTCACTCATATCATCCAATTTGATGGTAGAAGGCATTAACTGTGTAGGAATCTTTTCGATTTGGCCATCCATACACAAATTAGACTTCCATATTAGAATTCGTCGGTCCGTGCCACCAGAAGCAAAAAGCTTACCGTCTTTTGAAAATGCTACGGATGTTACACCAACATGATGTCCCTTGAGAGTATAAATTGGACGGCCTTCTAGGACATCTAAAATCTAGCCGACATTGCTATCAGTAAATGTAATAATTTATTGAAACCACTATATAAAATCAAAGTCTTAAACCTACCTTCATTGTCGAGTCATCCGAAGCTGTTAACATGAAATTACCCGTTGGATGGAATTTGATCATATTCACAGGTCCTTTATGAGCAGCATAATGCTGACATAAAGAATTTGTTCTCAGATCGTACAGTTTAATACACGCGTCCTCGTTTGCCGATCCGATAGTCGTACCGTTTGGATGGAATTCCACGTATGTAGCGGGGGCTAACATAGCAAAAATTTTCTCTATATTTCTGAACTACGAAATTACGATGTGCTCAACAAACCTTTTATCTCGTTAAAAGTTTTAACACATCGCGCACTGATAATGTCCCATACTTTTATCGTTTTGTCATCGCTGCACGATACCAAAAGTTTACCATCGGGAGAAAACCTAGCGCAATTGACCCAATACGTATGTCCTATAAACGACATGAGAAATCTTCTGTGACGTGCTAACCATAACTTGACACTTTTGTCGTTCGATGCGGTGACCAGCTAAACATACCGATAAATAATTATGTAAGTCACTTACAGCAAGATCAGTGATAAATTGTAATTAAATGCGAGAATTATACCTCTTCTCCAGTTGGACTGAACTGTACTGATTTCACGGCAGAGCTGTGAGCTTTAAAGTCCAACGAATATCCTTTAATTTTAGGAACCCAAATTCTCACAGATGTATCTTTTGAAGCACTGGCCATAAGGTCTCCGTTTGGCGAATAGCACACGTCCAAGACACTTTCTGCGTGGGCTTTGAACTTGTAAGCCGGCAACGAATGTCTCAATTGCCACATCATTACTGTTTTGTCTAGGCTACTCGATATGAGTCGATCAGCATTTGGATGAAAGCTTAAAGCTGTAATTGCATTGTGATGACCTTCGAAGTATCCTTGGTACGCAGGCTCGCAGGTGGTCTCTTCCGGGGTTTCTTCTGGCAGTGCAATAAAGTAATCCATAATATTAGAAGAAATAAAACAAAGTAAATAAAAATATGCAGTGAGATCACACGCGATAATAAATAGCAAAAGATAGAGTTCTGATTTAAGTTAAGATTTAAGTTGATATACTAGTTTTTTGTCATAAGTCGGATCATATTACAAAAATAAATGTTAGGAGTTAGTACAGCATATAATAACTAATATATAATAACTAATATCCCTGCTCATATCTTTTCATTATAAGCGAGGGGATATTTTTCATAACGATATTATTTTACTTACGGAGCATCTTATCGAAAAGATTCGCGTCCGAATATTATCAACTTTGACTTGGTTTCACTTCCCATGCAAGAACGATGCTCAGTGGAGTCTGTGGAGTGTTTGTTTGTTGTTTCTTCTTCTTCTTCTTTTTGAAACCCCGAATGGATTTCAGGCTGCGAGGGAGCCACAGTACTACGCTTTCTCAAGCAAGAAAGTATAGATCGTATATGTGCAGTGGACCCTTAACCTCAATTTTAGAGTAGAGCGTGATAATCATCTGGATCAAGCATCGTTGTGTCGTATGGTTCCAGGGTGGGGCCGAAGGCACTAAGTTTCTCTTAGCCGAGAGAACAAACTCCAAAAAAAAAGAGCGTGATAATCGAAAGCAGAAATCCGAGATGATCGAATCTTGCACGAAGAGGCGAATGTTATTAGGTATTACATTCTTAGGAGGGTTAGTATCTCATATATTTTCCGTGCTAAATAACAGGTTGGCACAGGCTCGTAACTGCATCGAGCAAAACGTTTGCGGAGACTGACTTAATTTTTTGTGCAACTTTGCATTCCCCACAGATTAACGGTTTTAGCGCTAATTATCGAGAGCCATTGGACGAGCAGCTCGAGCAAGCTTTACGTTGACAACTACGAGAACAATTCCTCCTGCATCTCTGGCGAGGAGTACGAGGTGATATCCGAGTGCCATCCATGCACGGCCTTCGAGATTGCTAGCGAGAGCATCGGCGTTTGTGTTCACGCGAGATATAAGGAAGTGCTGAAATGCAAGAGTGGTGAAACAATAACGAGAAGGTAGGACTACGCTTTAACTACTACCAGGATTTGCTATATCTACTTAGCTTTATACGCTGCATTTCCACATATTTGTATTGCAGTTGCGACAAAGTGGCTTGGCTGGAAGAAAGGGCATTCTGGAAGTTCGAGGGTTTCATGCTTGCTGCGGCGATCGTCTCTTGCTTCACAGTATATTGGAGAGAGATCATATTGAGACAGAGAATAATCAGGAAAGTAGCTAAACAATTGCGAATTAGTGTGTGAATGCTGGGAGTCGAGAGTCGACATAGAAGAGTACACTTCTACCGCTCGTTTAAGAAAGGCACAGAGAGACAGAGAAATGAATGAAGTGTATTTAGCGATATATTCTACGGCGGACTTGTGCCTCGCTCCGATAGAAACGGTGGTAACTCTTTTTACCATAAAGTATTGCGAGTCTTCAATTAGCATCAAGCTAATACCGAGTAAGCAGGATTTAACTGAACAAGCGTACACGATAGATCTCACGAATTTTGTCTACGAAATTGTCAATGTAAGCGAGGTACCTTGTTACGCGAGCTCGTGCGAATTACCGAATGTCGCTGTAAATGAAGATAGCTGCATGGCTGGTTTGTGTACGGTATTACGACAGATTGTGAAAAGCGCAAGTCCGGAGTATTCAACGCATGATTGTAATAAGTTGTTAGGTTTCAAGGGCTCCTGCTTGATGGCTTGCTCCGAGGCAAGCGTGTGGACTAAATTCTGCGAGATCGATTTAATTTTAACGCTCAAGTCTTTAGATACAAAGGATTTAGAAAAATCCGAACTGCCCGTTAGCTTAGCCAGATTCGAATGCCACATGTCGCAGCCGGTTAGATTGCACAATTTGTATAAGTATAAAATGTGCAAAAAGTTTGCTGCGCTCGATATAACTAGGCAGGATAAGACCGGTCTGCCGGAACACACGTATGCGGAAGGTGCGTGTATTACGTTATCCGACATAATTATATTTGTATGCATGCACATTCTACTGAATACATTTTCGAGCCAGATGATATCGAAACTGGTACCCTTAACAGCCAAATGGTACGACAGAATGTTGGAAGATCACTTCATAATAAAATGCCTAAGTTGTCTACCTCTATCAAAGAGCCATAATTCAGATGCACTCCATTATACACTTCCAGTTGTAGTAAACGAAAGCTTGTACAAGAGCGATCCTAAACGCTACAAACCAAAAAACCGCATCTACACGAGACAAGATGATATAGAACATTCGTTGCAGTTGGTCGAAGGCATGAAGATTTCAATGCAGCTTGACGTTAAGCCATTTGGCGTGGAAGTAAACCTCGACTGGTCCGACGTTCCTTTTGATGCCACCCCAGAAGGCGGTTCGTTGCCACTTTCGAGGCTGCGGCGAAAGCAGGAGCAACTGCAGAATTTATGTAAACCCGTCCTGAAATTGGCGAAGGCGGGAGATACTATTGTAGATTTCTGTTCGGGTAGCGGCCATTTGGGAATATTGATAGCATACTTGCTGCCACGTTGCACGGTTATTCTGCTGGAAAACAAAGAGGAGTCTTTGAACAGAGCCAAGAAGAGGGTCCAAAGGCTGAGCTTGACGAACGTAAAGTTTTGCCAGTGTAACTTGGATTATTTCAAGGGAGATTTCGACATCGGCACGTCGTTACACGCTTGCGGTTTGGCGACGGACCTGGTTATTCAATGTTGCATACGGAAGAACGCGATTTTCGTGTGTTGCCCTTGCTGTTACGGCTCGTTGCAGGACTGCCATCAGCTAACGTATCCGCGAAGCGAGGTTTTCAAGGAGTGCGTTAACAATAAAGAATACTCATACCTGAGTCATGCAGCGGATCAAACGCATGACGAACTGAATGTTAAGACTAAGCAAGGCTATAGATGTATGACAGTTATAGACACGGACAGAAAACTGTTCGCCGAACAATTTGGGTATGAAGTTCATCTCGGTAAATTAATTCCAGAAACGTGCACACTTAAGAATCACTTGTTAGTTGGCATACCAAAAGGTAAGCTAACATATGGCAATTGATGTGATAATTGGTCCGCTGAATGACTTTTGTAAATAAATGGCATTTATATTGAGAACATTAATTAATTATGTCAGTAATTATATATTGATAGCAGCATGCAAAACATTTTTTATTATAATAGGAAGACTATTATGTATAAAACGTATTTATTTTATGTATTGTATCTTTAAAAGGGTGCGTTGGGTGAGTGCTATTAGCGCTATTTACTTCATTCTACATAAATTTCATACTACAAACGCTATTTTACCCGTAGTGGTGTAATGCTAAACAATGTTATCGTTTCTAAGCTCTGTAAACGCTGGTGAGCGTTGTCTCGATTTATGAACATTGTATATGTTTTTATTATACGTGATTTTATATTTATCATGAACTTATATGGACATTATGGACTGTGTTGAAATATATCTTCAGGATGCCGGATCTCAAGAGCAGTTTAAAATTAAACTTTCTCAGACTAATTAAATAAAATTATTGTTATTATTATTTATTCCATTGTTGGTTAATTACTTATATTTATTATTTTTAAATATATATTATTTTCTTTTTCAAAATATTTTGAATGTAATAAGCATTTTTATTTTAGCACATCCAATAAGAAATTCATCTTATAAAGAAAAGAAATTATTTACATTACTAACTAATATCTAAGAGGAGCCTTGAACTCCTAATCAGTTAACGCACTATTGTTTCTACATAACTCTTTGCAACCTATATATAGATACATTTTTTAAATATTTATTCAAATAATTTCAAGTTCTTTATTATTGCTTTCAAATGATGATGAATCTATTAGCTCTCGCATCCCATAAGTGCTACTGCTGTTAATAAATTTCTTCGACCTTATTCAATAAACATATTTAAAATCAGTTGTTAGGAGACACCATAACGTTGCGCTAATGCCCTTCATGTTCATTAGTAGCTCACAATCGCCAGCGCCTTGCCCAAACTAGCGTTTGCGTTTACAGCGTGATTACAAGTTCCCTGAACGCACTCTAATATTATTCCTTCTTTATTTTATATGTATAACTGTGTTAGCATAATGGTCGTAGATTTTTTAATCTTATTGCTAAATGTAGATAAGGAAAGAACAATAATAAATAAAATTTTTGAAATTGTAAAGTTTAGAATTTGTGCTATCTTTTTTCTAATTATATATCTCTTCAATAGAAAAGTTTCCAATAAAATATCGAAACTAAAAGCCTTTTTGTCCGCAAGTATACCTACATAATAAAGCTCGTATCAGCGACTGCAGATTAAAATTGAGATTGGATTGAAATTTGATCAATCAGAACAAATTTCATTAAAATTGAGATTAGTTTTCTTTATTTTGATTAGGCGCGTCCAGCAGACCAAGCCGCTCAGTAGCAGTCGAACGTGATTGGCTCTTACTTTTAGAACCAACCAATCAACGCAGAGTGTTGATAAGACGAACTCAACAGTTGTGTCTGCTGAACACGGCTATTGATAATCCAATCTCATCTCAACCCGCAATGTGATACGGGCTTAAATGTAACCTGCAAAATGGCGATGGCTATGCGGAGCTCAAAACAACTGTTCGTGACGCACGTGGTGTGAAGAAGCTATTAATTTACGACAATTATTTTTCGCTACTGCGATGTCGTTTTTTATAAGAAGTAGTGCTCGAGGAGGTGGCCCACAGAAGCGTAAAGTAAGCTTTCCGATTTATCTTATTCCCTTTTCGAAAGTGTTACGTTTTCTCTTGCTTGGAGGTTAGAATTAAGTTCGCTCGAGATAACACAATTATTTTGTATTTCTCCTGATTCTTATTAATTGTTTGCACATTGTATCGATTATTTGTTTTAAAAAATTTATTATAAAATATCAAAATATCAAATAATCTTGAGACATACCTATAATTCAATTCATGTTCATAATTTTTCTTGTGTAGAATGTATCAATAGCATTTGTAATTTATAATTTTATTATGTTAGCTCAATGGCCACTTTAGTAAGACATCCAAAGCTCAGTCTACTTCAAAACAATTGAGGAAATCAAAGAAGCCTAAATTTGACGACAACGAGAGTATCGCCAGCACAGATGAAGAACTCGCAGAAGAAAATTTAAGGTAACGATAATCAAATACATTGAAAGGATTTAATGAGCATTATAAGATTTTTTTTTTACAGAAATGAAGCACAAAGTGAAACCGAGGAAGAGGAAGAAACTGCGCAAGAAAAACGTGTGAGACTTGTAAAGAAACGTCTTCAAGAAATTGAAGAAGAAGGTACATAATTTAACGAAATGTTTTATGTTTGATCTGTGCTATTTTGAAAAGAGAAAGAAATAGTTTTATATGATAAATTTATTTTCAACATTATAGAAAAAGACAGAGCAGAATTTGAAGAGGGTGCAGTCGCACGGAGATTGCGCGAGGAATATTTGGAGGAGAAGGGCCGATTAAGGAAAACTATAGCGATAAATTATGTTGGCCACAGTGAGCTTACAACATTGAGATGTAAAGAACATAAATTGTCCATTACTTGTATTTGTCTTTCTAGCGATGGCAATATATTGTATTCGGGATCTAAGGATGGCAGTTTAGCTAAATGTAAGTTCACAAATTTTCACTTTAGATATATAATAGATAAAGTTCTAAAAATAATCGATGATGTTTATTGTTTACTCTTATCTGTTGCATATTTATTTTTTGTGAACTAAATTGATAATTACTTGTAGGGTCAATAAAGGAAAAGGTCAAATTAAAAGCTATTAGAGGAAACAGAGGAAAGACGAAGCCTGGAATGAAATCTGTACGATGTTTGGCAATTAGCACAGATGGAAAGTTTTTCGTAAGTTTAAATAAATTCTTTTTTTTAGTTTGTAAAAAAATTGCGCATAAAGACGAGTTTCTTTCTTATTATAGGTGGTGGGAGATAGTGGATGTAAAGATATAAAAGTGCTCTGTGGCGATACCCTTAATCATATAAAGAATCTACAAGGTCACAGGGGTCCCGTATCCGGATTGGTATTCCGTAAAGATACTCACACGTTATACTCCGCATCTGAAGACAAGAGCGTGAAAGTTTGGAATCTAGACGATATGGCTTATGTTGAATCCTTGTAAGTAACTTTGCAAGTTAAATAGCTTTTTATTTTATATATAATGAATTTACTTAGTTTTAATTTGTTTCTGACTGCCGTTTCTCTTACAGATTCGGGCACCAGAGCGCTATCACATCTATCGACGCACTTTCACGAGAGCGCGCCATCACGAGCGGTGGTTTCGACGGATCTATTAGGATATGGAAAATAGTCGAAGAGTCGCAGTTAATATTTAACGCGCACAACGGCGGCAGCAGTATTGACGCGGTTAAGCTCATCAACGAGGAGAATTTTTTCAGCGGCGGTGACGACGGACAACTTTGCGTTTGGGGGTGTATGAAGAAGAAGCCGTTGTGCTCGGTACCGGAGGCGCACGGAAAGGACGAAACCAATGGTCAACCGATGTGGATTTCAAGTATCGCCACACTATTGAATACAGATTTAGTAGCATCAGGTGCATTATCATGTTCTATCTTTGTATTTGCATCTATATTTGTTCCTTTTTTGGTACTAATTAATCAATTACGACTTCTAGGATCGCGGGACGGTACGATCAAGTTGTGGCAATGCGGTGAGAACTTCAGATCGTTAAATCCATTGTTTGAAGTGAAATTGGCGGGTTTCATAAACGCGCTTGCATTCACTCCCGACGGGAATCATCTTATTGCTGGTGTAGGCAAAGAACATAGAAATGGAGGTTGGTGGCGAATACCTGAAGCGAGGAATGCTATTGTTATTATACCACTAGTGCATAAGCAAAAGACAAATAAATAAATTTTATATCAATTTTATGTAGATTTTTACCTGTATAGACTAGTTTTTTTTTTTTTTTTTTTTTTTTTTATAAATCATTGAACACTTTACTTACCTTTTACTTTTAATTATATTCATAAAAAAATTTAATAAAATTAATTCGATAGAAATATTTATAATAATAATTGTGTTAAATATAAAAATAAGAACGACTGTTGCCTTTATAATATCGACAAACTTAACGCGATAAGAGATCTGTGCACTCAACGACGATGGTTCTAATGTGAATGAAATGAAAGAAATATTGGTCCACAGTACAAGTATTTATTCTGTACAAAAGTTGAGTTATAAAATATTATGTCCCTATTTTAGGTCTTGTTTTAGTCTTGTATACCATACCGTCTTGAGTACATTCGTATAATAACAATATCGCAACATGGAACGCTCGTGCTCGTCCTGAACGATTTTCTCCGCGTTTTCCTCACTGTTGTTATTTTATTCCGACTCGAGATGGACACCACGGCAAGTAACGTTCCCGTTAACGAGACAATTCCCTAGCCTCCAGCGTTCGAACGATCACCAGCGTTCCGTTCGCGCGAATCTTGGACTCACCGTGTACATATAAACCAAACCGACTTTAATCCGCATATTTATTCGAGTCAACAAACAGTAGTACAGCGAGTGTACGTACGCTACTTCTTGTGCATTCTTGCGATAAGTTTTCAAACGAGTGCGATATATAGGCCATCCTTAATTGGGAGCATACCACCCTTCCGTCGTGACGTTTTTCCCTCTTTTTTTTTTTCAATGCTTCGCGCTCTCTCTTTCTCTCTCTCTCCAGGCCGTGAGGGTGCTGTTCGGTGCGTTTTTTTTTAAGGGTCCTCATGCGACATATCGTCTTCCGTAAAAATACGCTCGATTAAATCTCTCCCTGTTTATCTTCAGGCCGGCGTTAATTTCCGCGAGGCAGACTCGGGGCTTGTTCGGCGGATCTTGTTTGCTTCCTTTTTTTTTCTCCGCACATTTGGGGGTCTCTCATTATCTTTTTTTTTCATATTTCTTTTATTTGGTTACCGTCTCATTTAATTGTTCGGCCTTTGACGCGGTTGATACGTGTGTAAATTGACGCGCTCCGCGACAGGCGTAGCGCGTCTCTCCTCTTTCCCTTCCCTTTGCTGTTCGCGGAGTCGTCGCGTCCCCCCTGATTGCCAGTCTCTTTCCCTCGTAAATTCTCTCTCTCTCTCTCTTTCTCGCCTTGGAAACCAGCCAGATTTATCAAAGTATCAAAGAGTCGCCTTTAATCTAGGATCTAATAATAAATGAGCCTCGCGCTTGACAAAACCGCCTGAACCCGACGACGACGCTTTTTTCTCCGCACGGAGCGGAGCTGGGCGGGCTCCTGGTTCCGTCCTCGCTCCTGCGCTCGATAAATCACTTATTCCTCCGCTTATTCCTATATCGCAACTGAAATGTGCTTTCTCCCTAACAGATATCCGTGACCGATGGACATTGTTCGCTTTATTGCACGATAGTCGAGAGCGAGTTCGTTTTATTGCTATCGGAAATCCTAATCTACGCCCAACTCCGTTTCGCTACAGCTTGTCCCCCCCGACGATTTTCTTCCGTCTCGCCGAGACGCGACGGAAGAGTTACATTACAATATGTACGCGGGGAGAGAGGCGTGTCTCTAGTATGCAATTGACGCTCGTTGCACGTTAGATATGGATCGGTGTTACATTCCGGGAGGATGGTTACTCACATTCATCCAGCCGCGATTAGTTCTGCGAAATTGTCGTTTGGGAAATTGTCAAATGCGCGTTGTAACGTAACTCCTTAAGCGATAACGCGAAAACTCTTCGTCGGATGTGCGGCAACGCAGGAAAGAATGAACCATTGAAAGCGCACGTAACTATTCTCACCGTGACTACCTTATTTCTTGCTTGCGATTTCTTACATAACGGTGTCTGAGAGACCTCACGGTGCGAATAACGATTTACGTTCGACTGATGTCAATTATACACTTATCACGAATAAAGTGAAGTCGCGTGTTGCCTTTTCTCGTGTTCGTACACACAAAGGAAAATAGAAGGAGAAAATAGCTTGCGTGTGCGGAGAATATCCATCTGTCAGCTATTTCTAATATTAAAGCGAACTTAAAATTATCACGACGATATTCGCGCTTTTTTTTAAGCTTTTTTTAGCTTAACAGCCATAATTCTCAGATGTAAAGGGTATTGCGTAGCCTTCGGCGGAAACGAGTCGTTTATTAAAAAATTCGTTGTTTACAAAACGCACGCGATGCTATTGATACCTGTCGAAATCGTTGCGAAAAACGTATTCCTTCCTTTTTATTCTTCTTATCTGTCTTTTTTCTGCTAGCAACGAATGAAGTATTGAATCGGAAATTGACGGTAATCAATTAAATATGGCAGTTTGTTTCGGGGAGAATTGCTTTTCGAATGGGATAGTCGTTTTGTTCGATTATAGTTGACGCAGTATGTACCTACGAATGAAAAATATATTACATTTATATTATTGAACAAAATTATTTACGAACTTTTTATATTAATAGCGTGTTCTGTAGTTATAGATTTAATAACAATACAGCAGGAATAGCAAATTGAAACGTTTCTTTAAGACGAAAGTTCTTTTAGGCCTCTTTTCATGGCGTGATGTATAGTGGTCAGGGTTCGAGCATTCAGCTAAATTAAGAAGAAAGCGCAAAATGTAGTAAAATTTAGACCTCACGTTTTTTTATAGGCCGACGAAACTTTTAACGTGTCCGAGGCCGATATGTATATTTAAGTATTAACATCTTCGAATATAAATGGGAAGATAGATGCGAGAGATTTTTTTTACATGATGCAATGTCTCGTTTAAAAAAAATTGCTTTTTCTTATGCGATAACGAGCGATTAAAATAGAATTAATAGAAGAACAGACTAGAATTTACTTAACCGAAGTGACGAGCTAGTTGTCGAACATTTGCCCGCGATTTATAAGACGCAACTGGAATAGATTGTGCATATCTCCGTGCATCGACCATTTCTTTTGTACTAACAGAGCAGGATCGTAAGATAGGACGGTCCGCTTTCTATAGCTTTAACGCGCGATTTAACGCAAATTACAAGAATAATTTAGCGAAGAGCAAGGTGCAACCAGCGCTTATCAAATCGAAAGATAAATAATATTGCTCAAGTTGAGAAACACGTTTTCCCCTCTTAATCGCCGAAACTGTGCAATTCTGGGTTCGCGACGTTCGTCGCGCGGCAACAAATCCCCGAAAGGAAATATCGAAAGCGGAAACATCGGGATTTTTTAATGCGAGAAATCAAACGCGATCGACACACGATTTCGCGGCAAGGCGAAGAGTGTCCCTTTTTCCGAACCGTCTTTTGCTCCTCGCCCCCTGACTTTCCCGAGCAAATAGGGATGATTCGCGCGAGGTATCTCGAAACAAAATACGACACCGCTAGTCCCCCTCCCCCTCCCCCCCTCGGCCCGACGCACGATATCTTTCTAACTTTGCCTTCCACTTTTTAAATTACTTTCGTTTGCCATCGATATATATTGCGCTATATATCGACATACATATAGAATATACCTACATAAATTGTGTAACATCGACGAGCCTACGCTCCCTCGCGTAGGACCACGTACATCCTCTTGCCCCCCCCTTCCCCGTTTTTTTCATTCTCACGCATTCACGTACATGCATATACGCGTGGTGCGTGCACGGTGCGCACATTGCATTTGCGCGAACGCGGCTTTCTAGATATACCGTGTGCTTCACCCTTATCTCCCCGCGCTCTTTCTCGCCCCGTTACCCTTTTCTCTGCCTTTCTTTTTCCCCGTATCACGCGTATATGCGGTTTCCACGACTCCGGCTCTCCGTGTCTGCGCGATGCGTGATGGTAATGCGTCCGCTCGTTACGTTTGCCCTTTACACGAAAAATTCATTTTACGCTTATTTACCCCTTATTTTCCGCGCCCCGCTACCTGCGATCTCTTCTTCGGATTGATTATGGCGATTTTCCTGTTTTCTTTCTTTCTTATTTTTTTTTTGCAACCGGCGGCTGCTCGTTTAAATACTATTTCGCTATAGTGGACTACCGTTATGAACGCTACGCTACTTTGTATTGTATCCTGTAATGCTTCGTAATGAACGACTGGTACTGAATGTGCATACTGGTGAACACACGCAATCTATAAAGGTCCCGTTCCAAGGATACCATACGCGGCGGCACCGAGCCGACGAGCACCGCACGAAAACGACGAGCGTGCTCGTTAACGAGCCCTGCTCGTAGACACCGGCGAGATTTTTAATTAATATTCCGATGTACACCGCGGACGCGGACGCGCGGATCCCGTCTCATTAATCACGGGACGCGCCGCGCTCGACAAAATAATCGTCCGTGCGAGGAAAGAGTGTCGCAAAAACGGATCAGTCGCTATTAAAAACGCGCGCGCCGGACAGCTTTGAAGCGAAATTGATGGGATCTACGGATCGAAAGTATCGAGATCAGCTTTCTCGGAAAGGAAACCGAATAAAATATCATTTTTTTGCATTCTTTTTTGTCATTTCCTGCTTGATTAGTTGTACACGGAATATTAATCAAAATTTGTTGACTCCTCGACGACTTGTAACGGAAGTCCGTCGTATCACGATAAAGAGATGCCGCGTATGATAGCCGTGATGTCGAGAGTGTATGTATGGGTCCTGTACGCTCCGGTTACAAAATAATGCAACGTGAGAAATCACGATCTGGCTAAGTGTCGCTCCGCCCTCTGTGAGCCTCGCTTTCCTGTTTAATCAGTACTTCGCGTACTTCGGTTTACGAATATAAATCGTAGTTTACAATTAACCGCTCTGCGTCCGCCGTCCTCGTTAAAAATCTTAGACATCAACATACATTCACATTTTTTTTGTTATTTTTATAATAAACCGTTATTAGAAACCTATCTCGTATTCGCTATGCACTTTAATATAAATTTCATCGTGTTTACCGTTTATTTACTCGTTAATTTGTTTATTTACAGAGACGCGTGTGTCTATTCGAAATTCGCTTTATCCTCTTTTTTTTAGTCGTTAATTAATTATAATTAATTCATTAGAAACCGCGCAGCCGTACTTGTCAGCGCGGCGGATATTTTACCCTCGATCTCGAGAAGAGAGGAACAAGTCTCTTTTATTATTATTTTTTCCCCCTTTTAACGCGTGAGAACGCGCGCGGGCGCGGGCCCTCTCGCCCCTCGAGCGGGAGAGACATCCGCGCGCGAGCCTCGCGTCCTTTCTTGTTCTCTTGCACACGCACACGAGTGGATGATTACGTAAGTGAAGTGGCATTACCGAACGTAATAGCAGACGGGAACTCAGACCTCCTCGGGATGGAGGACGTGAAGCGTATCCTGTTCTCGTTTTTCCCTCGCTTCTTCTTCTTCTTCTTTTTTTTTAAATCCTACCTCGGACGTTTATTTACACGCGTTTAAATCGCATCGACGGGTCCGCGGATCGCGCGCGGACCGAAATATAGATCTGACTCGTTAATACAGAGGCGGGCGTCGAATCCTCCTCTCGCGCGTTACATCTATTTACATACGTTTCTGAACAAACAAACCCACCGCAGATGCGTTCCCTCTATCTGCTGTTAAAAAAATACTTTTTTTTCTTTTCCTCGTCGGGGCAGCAGGACGCCTCACGTCTCGCGGTCTGCGGCACGGGTCCGTGTGGGTGTACGACGTGGTTGTGGACGTGATGGATGGATGACGGAAACGAAAAAGAGGGAGGGAGACAAAACAAAATAAAAAAAGAGGAATGAGTTTGCAGTGAGCGACCTTGTCTATTTTCTATATCGAATAATTCGAGTCTATATTACTGTTATAACGTATTCACTTATATCGTTCGCGCGAATGAGTACCCAGCGTGCGCTCGTGAATCCACGTACCCTTTCGCCCTTCGCGTGCGATCGAGCGGCGTTATATTCCCGTTAGATATATATATATATATTTCGCCGTCGCTTAGAACTAAATTCGACTCGCGATCGGCGGTCTCGTGACACTTTCGCGATTCCCAACAATGCAATTGTGGTGCAACGAGCGAGCGCGTCCAAAGGTGAAATCCGAGGTTCCGTAAAAACGTTACGTGCACCTACGGTACAGTGACCCTGGTTGAAAAATACCGAGGAGCATCGTTGGTATTCACAAGTATCCATAGCTTAAATGAACATCTAAAGGACCATCGAGATGCAACAATTGACATATATCTATTATTAATAAAACGTATGCTTGAGGGATGGATACGATTGTGAATACGATAATTGCATCGGCACATTTCAATCAGGAAGATCAAGGATGAATGTTCGTAACATAAACAAGTCATTAGTCTAACAAAATTCCAAGTACAATAATGATTGTCCGCGAATACATCTTACTTAACGTCGCTTACCTAAAGCAGTCATGTGAGTTTCGAATCGACAATCGATCGGGAACATGAAAGATTGCGTCGACCAGCTCGCTCGTCGCTAATTGCGGCAACAAAACAGAAGTGAAAATACAAACCAAATGATGGATGGCGCGTGACGCTCGGGCTTACAATACCGCTGCTGAACTTTCGTTTATTCGCGAATTTGTTGTTCTCGACTAATCGCGATATTCGCTGCTCTCGCGATCGTAGACGCGAATGAGGACGATGAACTATGAATGAACTTCCGAAAGCGAATCGGCCCGTGTCGAGTAGTCTTCAACGCGTAAAGTTTCTCATTTCGCTACTTAAGATTCTGTGAATAAGGGATCTTTTTTTTTTCACTCTCTCATACATGCACACACGCACGCACACAATCATACATCCTCTCGTCTCGCTACGGTACTCATTTCCTGCGTAAATTCGTATTTACAATAATTCGTTAGTGCAGTCGCGCTCGCAATTGTATTTTTTTTGTGGACACGAACGGAAAATTACTCACTGCTTCGTCTTTCGTCCTTTGCATACCGCGTTCACGCACGCATGCGTGCGCGACACGCGAAAGGTGAATCCACGAGTGTGTACGCACGATACGTGTACACGCGCAAGTCTTTTTCCCTGGTAATGTGAATAATAAATAGAATAATAAAAAAAAAGGAAACGTAGAAAAGGGGGAATCAATATAAATCGGAAACATGATTGAACTGATTAGACATTGTGTATAGTGTGAATAGAAACATGATTCGTGTATGATACTCTGAACGAAATCAAGAACGAAGGAAAACAACAAACGACGGGGTAGGAGGGGAGTGGTTGGCTCCGGGGGCTCGTTCGTGCCGCGATCGCCGCTTCACCCCCGGGCGCCGACAATACGTTAATTTGTTCGCTATTAAATTTGATATTTCACTAGCAAATATAGAATATCGAGTGTAGAATATTCGTTAGCGTAATGATAGCGGATAATAAATATAATACAGATCTATAGATAGAAGTCTCAGTATGGTACAGCTATTATACAAATCTGTCTTTTACTCGATTCGCGACTCAGTCTCTCTCGCACAATATTCTCTATTCGCTCGCTCGATTTTTTTCTCTACGCTACTTTTCTTACCCAACGGCTCGAATCAACGATACTATACGCTATCCTTGACTCGTGACAACGATGCAATTAGACCTGTTGTAGTGTAGCAGAAATTCGCATAAGTTCGTGGCTTGTGTCGATTTGTTCGATGAGCAACACGGTGCTCATATCATAGTTGCATAATGCACATACGCACTCACACTTTCTGTCTGATCCATGCTCTCTCTCTTTCTCTCTTTCTCGTTTCATATTATAAGATTTACCTAGAAATACGGCACTCTTTCTTAAATCTCCCCGGCCCCCTGTTACCCAGGCGGCCACAAGAGCCACTTGTACATATTCATTAGGAATTTATTTACACGCGTGCTAACTATCCTACTCGCGATCTCGCATGCGAACTCGAATGATCCTTCGTCCTCGGCGTCCTGCGATTTGGCCGGGCGGCCGCGGCGATCGGCTCGAATTTAAATGCCGCGCGAAAGACGATTAATCCCAGACGATTCCTCCTAATTTTTCGATCTTTTGTCCGATACAGATCGTCCAATCATCGAAGAACTACGGCGCGTCGTGTCGACGACTTCGAGTTCAAGTATCTCTACGAAAGCCGCTCGCGATGAGGATCGCGATCGTACGCCCCCGTCTTGGCCGCGAACCGAAAACGTTCAAGGATTTTCAGGTACTCTATTCTCGAGGCACGGCGCGCTCGCGTAATCGCGCTCAGGACAAACTATTTTCCTTGCCGGCCCCGAGCGAGGACCCCTTAACGAAGGACCGTTCGTCGTCGATTGCCGAGTTCACGCGGCAGTTTTTTCCGTGGAATCGAAGATTCGCTCGAATCAAAGACGTGCGATCTGACATTATTCGCGTACATACAACAGCCCTGCTACTAATATATAACAGACGCGTCCTTCTCTCGCGTACACTTCTCGCTCTCGGTTGAGGATACTTAGCACGCTGCCACGACTCTCGCTTACATCTTTCTCTCTTTCTCATATTCGAATAAATACCTACAGTTAGCGTAATGATAAGAAGGACAACCAATACGACTACCATTTATAGTAGTGATAATAGTGGGCGTGTACTATAAGTAGTGTCTAGTAGTAGCGCTTCTCTTCCCGCTTTTTCTTCTCCGCTTTCTCTGCTACTTCCCGTCCTACTCTCGGCTTCCTCGTCTTCGTCCTTCTCTACAGTGTTCCACCCTAGAACCCCGCTAATTCCTTAATTGTAGTTAATATGGCGTTGCCGCTCGTGTGTCGTGCGTGTCTCTTTTCTCGACGTGTCTCTCCTTTCCTCGCTCTTCATCTTCGTCTTTTTTTTCTCTCTCTGTCTCTCGTACTCTCCGTCTTTTCTCTCTTCTCTGCTATCTCTCGAGTCGGCGCGACCATGGATCGTGCGTGTCTCTCACTACGATCGAGGGACGGCCGAGGTACGCGCGTGTGTGTCTCGCACGCCTCTCAAGAAATCAATTAAACGTAGGATAATCACAGAAGAAGGGGTTTCGACGCATGGGATATACGACGTTCTCGTACGTGGCCGGTGCTGTCGCTTCACCGCAGCAGTTGCTGCAGCAACGCGCTCATCAGCAGGCTGCACGTCGCCAGGATCAGGCTCTGCGCGTACCGAGCGTGCGTACGAGCGTACGAGCTTGCGCCGTTGTACGTCAGCTCCTCGTTCTTCACCACCTCGTTCGGATGATCCGAATACTCTTCTGCGAAACACAAAAGCGAAGAAATCATTAGCCATTGATGATAAATTACACGATAAGATAGAGGATTAGGATTAGAAAACGCAGATTTTATAAGTTGTTAAAAAGGTATTAGAGAAACGATCCTCTTAAATACGAGATTAAAAAGTGAAAGATGTAAAACAGAATTATATAATTCATACATTTCACTCTTTGCACCCTCTCTTTTTTCAAGTAAACTCTATGACGTCACTTGAGACTAATTTGAGGCTAATTATAAGTCCCAAAATTTTTTTAATTAATTGATCGAGTTTTTAAAAAAACCAATAAAAATTTTAAAACTGTTATACATATGTTTTTAATCTACGATAGAGATTGGCTTGCGAATGGGATTATATCTCGAGGTGCGCCACCGAGAATTTCTTTGCGCGGATGTTCAAGTCGCGTCTCAAATTTTAATGGTTATTACCTCGTGCAGAACCACGAGAGGGGAAACGAAATCCCTGGCAATTTCGTGTCGACACCTTGGGAACGTGTATTCCCTATCGTGCCGCGTCTCGGAAACACGGCACCGTTAATGGGTGAGCGGCTATCCGCGCACGGCTTATCGGCGAAATGCAAATGCGCGCGTACGCGGCGCATTTAGAAGTCAAATTATATCGTAGACGTCGACGCGAAGAAGGGCGTGCGGCGTTGGAATCGACAGATGGCTGCTTTCGTTCGGTTTTCATCCGATCGCATCTTGACATTGCGCCTCGTCGACCTTCCACCTGGCGTATGCAGAGGCGCGGGTATTTACGGCGCGCATTTGCAAGTAAAGGCGGCGATTCGGCTCTTATCTCGCGCATAAACGCGATGTTAAATAAATATGTAAATCTATTTCTCTCTCTTTATTTTAAGGAATAATTTGCGATTGAACAGAAATAAAGAAATCCCCCTGTCAGTCATGAACAGCTAGAACGAGCGCGTAAAATGCGCGATAATTCGGAAGAACACAATTTGCAACTGGTAATGATTGACAGCGGTCATCATTATTATTTCTACTATAATTCACTCTGGATGTGCAGCAGATAGGCTAGCATTATGTATATAATAGAAGATATGGCCGTTCGCTCATCATAAAAAAAAGCTAAGTGAGTGCACTAAGAGAAACCCGACTGACACGTTGCCAATGCTTCGACTGTCAATTAATGTCGATTTGCAACGATCATCAATAATTACCAAGACGTATTTCACTTCCGAACACGTGTGACTTAATTACGTCGAGTGCTCTTTGATTGAGCGAAGAGGGAATCAGAGACGGATTAATCCGACTTTCATAAACTGCCCGATGACTCTACCAATCTCCGGACCGGTATCGGTACGAGCCGGTACCAAGGTACTCGGATCAAATATGAGGCACAAAAGCGAAGCCGCCGCGCGAGGAAGCGCTTCAAAACGAGATTCCGCCGGACAGACAGATAGACAGACAGACAGACGGCAGCGGTGCGACGGTGACGACACGATACGTACTGTTCTTCTTCTTCTGACCGGTCGAGGTCTTGGGCGGCGTGATCGAGGACGGCGGTCCATTGTGAATCGGCTGCTGCGGCTGATGCGGATGAACGGGGTAGACGGCCGGCGGGGGCACATGGGGCAGGGTCGGCGCCGCCGTGCCCGTCTGATGATGATCGTGATGATGATGCATGCTGCCCCCCGGGTAGAATCGATCTCCGCCCCTGTAGACGATCGGCGGCGGCGGCGGGGGCGGCACGCCAGCGGCTCCGCCGCCCAAAACCGCGGTGCTCGTCGAGCTGCTGCTGGGCACGGTGCTGCTGGTCACGGCTACGGCTGGAAAACGGATGGTATGGTGTTAGATGATTACGCATTATATCTTTTCTGTACCTTCGACTCGGTCGCGAACCGTGCGCAGATGTCGAGGAACAATCGGCGACCGAAGAACGAGTTGTTTTCTACGCGGCTTGGTAGAAAGGAGAATTCGTATCGCCAAAAACATCTTGGAACTTTAAACTTTGGTTCTCCTAATACTTCGGTTTCAGTGTGATTGTATGAATACTCTTAGAGAGAAGCATGTTGCATGTGTTAGCAGATAATTGTATATTTTTAAAGAAGTCTGTGTACGTGTGTGCAATTAATTATAAAAATGTTTAAATAAAAAAAATATTTCAAGAAAAATACTTCAATAAAGTATTTAGTATTATTGCAAAGGATTTATTTCTAATATTTATATCTATTGTATCTCCGATAGTTATCTGTTTCATTAAAACATATTTTCTGCTCATACACTTCAAAAAAGTCCTTTTTATGTTTAAATAATATATTTTTAAGGAGTATGAAATCGTTTTGTATTTTTGACTTCCCTATCCACATGCTGATCTATAAATCTTACAATGCAAAAAACGAAGTTTTCTTTAATCTTCAAGGTAAACATACTGTTGAAAAAACGCAAAAAAGTCCTTAAATCGATTTTAATGTATAAAGAAGTATGAACAAGTTTCAGAAACTACGATTAAGTGCGGCGAGAGGCAACCTTCGTCATCTTCACACTTTCCCATCGCGAATGCTCACCGATAGTCTTCGCGTTATTCTGAGCCCGCAACCTGGCGCAGTACCTGCTAACCCATCGGAAATAAAACTCGCGGCCGTGGAGGTACGTGCACCCCCCGGCGATATAATTGTGTAGAAGTAGCCGCGCGCGAACTCTCGACGTCTACCGTGAACGCGAGGTCGGGTCTCGCCGTGGAATCTTCAATGCCCGAGATGTTGAGGAAAGAGAGAGAGAGAGAGTGAGAGAGAAAAAGAGAGAAAGAAGGAGGGTAAGAGAGAAAGAGAGAGAGTTCAGAGTTCCCGGCCAGCAAAATAGCTGGTCATTATGGCGCATGAATCGTCTCTGCCGGGGCGGAGGTGGCAGGAAGAGAAAAGGGGGTCCAGGGGGAGGCGAGAGAGGGATCGAAGGAGAGCGGGAAGACGCTTCGAGGATGCTTCGGAACGAATTGGGGAGAGAATAGCGGGGCGAAATGAAATGGTAGAATTTATTGTGCCCCGGGACACAGAATTGGTCCCCCCGCGGCCGCAACAAATGACGCACGGTGAGGATTATAATCGATAGGGATTATTTAAGAGAGAGAGAGAGAGACGAGAGGACGGCAGGACGGAGACGACAGGAGGAGAGACGGGGGCGAGAGGTGGATAGAAGGAAGGACGAGAAGGAAATGAGCTCGAAAGGATGGCGAACGAATCGGTGAAGGAACAAGTACACCGCCTGTTATGGTAGCCGTTTCTCTAACGTAACTGATTACGGGATAATGAATTTATGGACCATTTTGTTTCGTGCCTCTGATCCCCCTCCTACGTTTTTTTTCCCCGGAGCGCGCGTCTCCGACGGAGGTCGCGCGGAACGAGAAAGCGTGAAGAGTTTAAAAGCGTGATTTACGCGCGGAATGAAAAGGCGGTGTCCCTCGTGCAAATGACGCCTGTAATTTTAGATTATGATAATTGAGAAATTAGAACATAATTGCCGCGCGAATGCCTTCCATGGGAAGGAAGAGCCTGCGTTTCGGGCACCGTCTCGCGGGCGGCGCGCGATGCGATGCAAATGAAGAAGTGCACGCGAGTGAACTCGCGTGGCGAATCGTCACGCGAATTGTTGCCTCTCGGATCTTGGAGAACAAAGGAAATCCATCGCTATTTGATATCTCCTATTTTGGAATCAGTACTCTTTCGTATTCCAAGTGCTTAAAAGCGCTTCATAAATAAAAAAGAATTCTTTAATTCAATTCAAAGTAATTTTCCTTTCTGCTCGTGAATCAGTTTCTGTACCCTTCGATTTTTTGCGCGATGCGACGCGCGATCTATCCCGAATACTTACAGTTGTTACGCGATGTCGCCGAGGAGGAGGTCTCGGCCTCGTTGCCGCAGCAGACCTTGAAGACGACCTTCATGTTGTGGCTGGTGCACCGTCCGCCGATGCGCCTGTGGAGGTCGTCCTTGGACGAGGTGCTGATGAAGTAGTAATCGTGGCCCGGGAGGAACTCGAGGCCCCCGGGTTGCGGCGTGAACGGCCTAAACGTGATGGTGAAGTACATCGTTTTGCGCGGCTTGTCGCACACCGCTATTACCCGCGGACTCGGGTTCGTTATCCGACATGTCTCGTACTCCTCCTTGGACACCTGCAAAACGCCCAAGAGAAATCGTGCGATCAGTCGCGACGGTATAATCGATCGGCGATACGGGGGAGGGGGGACACGCGGATCGGCGACACCGATCGCTGATTGACTACTGTGAAAGGTGCCATCTTAGCGTTTCCCCCCCGGGCGAACCGATTCCCGTGCTCTTCTGCAGAAGAGGGCTTCATTGTTGGAGCTAATCGTCGTGTAGGAAGAACGGCGGAGACAATGGGACAACGGATGGCGGAGAGTGGAGGGACAATCAAGTGGATCGAAACGATTAGGTCGCCGACGACGCAGGAATGGTCTTTGGGAGGTTTTGCTTTGCTCGAGAGGGTGGACGCCACCGGAATGTTTGATGGCCACGTCCGTGAAAGCCGAGAATCTGCCGCGGTATCTGGAATTGGTTATCGGGAGAACGAAAGTTTGTAATAAAAACGTATCAATCGGGAATACGGTGTCACGATTTTCGTCTTGGCATCGGCCACAGTTTTTTTTTAGAACAAAATTAACTTTTAACCGAAAATAATTACTTAAAAAGATTTCTCTGTGGCAAATAAAGATAAAAGTACTCCAAGTAAAATGAAGCGATGGAAAAGATAACTAATTAAAAAAGAATAATTGATAAATTATTTAAATCTTATCGTTTTCACCCAAAGATAAGACATTTGCGTATCGAACCGAGATTAAAATAGAGAAGGAGGTCGTGAGATTGTTCAGTATGCTTGTGTGTGTAGATACGTATATATGTTCAGTATTTCTTTCAGTTTATCGATAAATCTACATTTCGGTAGCGTGGTACGCTCGCTGAAGAGCGGATGTCGTTTTGGGGATATATAATGGAAGCGGGTTAAGAACCAGTTTCAAGTAGCAGCAGCAGCTGTCTAAACATTGGCAGACTCCGATCGACAATTTTTTTATGTCCAATATGACTGTGGTGTTGTCATTAGACATTCACACGTTATAGTTTTGAACCCGTTATCTATAATAAATGCATCGAAGGGAAAGGTGCTCTGTTGCCGGTTAGTTCGGCTGTCGATATTGAGAAATATTACAAAAATCCACTTACGTTGTAGATGATGTACTTCTCAGCATCATCATCGACGTACGAGTCCGGCGGATATACAGGACATATTATATTGACTTGATCGTACTCGAACATTGCGTTGTTTTTGTTCACGTCAATTATGTGATCTGTGTTGTCTATTCGAAATCTGTAACATAAAAACAGATTAATTAGCAAGATTCGCGCGAACACAAATCTACCTTATTCTAACATTAGGAATAACGCAAGTAAGATTTTATAACATTTATTCGCCACACGGTAACTTTTTACCTGTCCAAATATTACTTATATATCTATATTTTTATAATATTATTTATTCGGCACATGGTAAACTTTCCCTGTCCGAATATTATTTATAGTGGGATGATAGTAAATTATAGTAGGTATATGGTAGATATCTCCATAATCTATATAAAAAATGCATTATTATCGCAAATGCACGTTTGGAAATCGCCCATCGAAATTTCAACACGCGATTTGTTAAAAAAATCTACTTTAAAGTCTCGGAAGCGTATACGGCGAATGCTTCTCGAGGAAGATCATATTTCTCGCAGACTATGGCGATGCAACGCATACCGCCGTTTCCGTGCAGCAAGTTCCAGGACTATCCGTGAAACATTCGCGAGATGCCGACGCCTCCGGTGGAGGGTCTGGGGGGAAGCGAGAGGGGCCGCAGAGACCAGCGTCCCTACGGCCTGTCGGTAGCCAGGTCAGGAAAGGGAGAAAAAGAAAAGACGCGGACTCGCCCTCGTAAGCACCCAACGTCAGATAGGCAGGCACCCATGGTGTCGAAGCATCGCGCAAGTATACGTACCGGCTTCTTATACAGGATGTTTCAGAAACGAACCCGCGACTCCTCTGAACTGGCAACTTTCTCATGAACAAAGTGAAAATTCAAACGACCATTCTCTTTTCCTAAGTAGGTACCTTTCGGCACTGATTGAATAATTTCATTTTATATCATGCTGAAGTAAAATTTATACAAATTAATGGGAGAGATCTATAGTCACTCTAATCACTGACAAAGTCAAACGTTATTGACGCCTTCACGTTGAAGCGATCATGGTTTCGCTTGACTTGGCACTCTCTCTAGCCGAGCTCGAACACCCTGTACATTCACGCGTGCGGGTATGCGCTTAGCCTAGCAGCCGTATACGCGTGCACACACACACACACACAGACACACACATACGCACGCGTCGCTGCATTATGTAGCGGCGGTTTCGCCGATGAGGATACTCGGGGAGGATGTGGAGGAACGAAAGGTCGGCGGATGAGCAGAGGAAGAAGAGGAGAAGGTGCAGAGAGAGAAGAGGTGGCGGACGGTTCCTATATAACCGGTTCTTACCGCGAGCACTCTCGCACACGCTAATACGCGCTCGGTAAGTCGAGGTGTACGCAACCAGCGACGTCTCTCCCTATTTCGCGTCGACCTATTTCGTATTCGCGAATCGGCGCAAGAACTGCGCCGTCATTCAATAAAATTATAAGTCGCGAAGGGGCTCGGGATAAGACTTCATGCTCCACCAGTACACTTATATATATTATATTATATTAATACATACATAAAAATGCTTTATAATTTATCTGTAAAATTAAAAAAGCTCACCGTTTATTGTCTATTTGTAATCAACATGTCTTCGATTTATATATTTACATTATATGCACGCACGAGAATGCCTTGTCTCGTTGTTGGCGCGGTCTGTGATTTCGTCGAACGTACTGCATATTTCACCGCGTTGACGTTGGGGTGTTGTGTGCCGTTTTTCACTTACGCGAGTCTCGATTCCTCGTTCGCCGTTTATAGATGCACGCACTGTCGGACGCGTCTACTTTTTGCGGATGCATCACGAGCGCGTCCGAGCCGCGATACATGGAACTTTACACGTGTATAACCATATTTATTCTTCGTCTCTCGCTCTTTCTTACGTGCATTTGCCTTCGTGCACTGGTAGCGCACAAGTTCTTACGTGTTTAGAGTTTATCCGAGCCGGCAAACACGTACATACTGCACGCATGGTAAGGCGTACGGAGATTTTTGTTGCTTATTTTCTCACGCTATCTTACGTGCGCTTCCGCAGTTGGATCGCATACAATCGGCCGCGGATGATATGAGCCGCACAAATCGCATATATGTCTATCCCGCTATAGATATATTTAAAGTTTTGTTATAGAGTTTAATTCGGTTCTTCGATATTAAAACCTTACGATATAATTATTATTCCGTATATGATAGATTAGGCAAAATGTCACTTTTGATGAGATTTAAATAAATTTTTCATATAATCTTATTTAAACTCCATTTCTGCATTTCATTTATTTTCCTGATTATAAAAATAAAAACAATCGACAAAATTGATAGCTTTGGAATTTATTCTAGCCGTTCTCAGCTACAGGAATATGATGAGGTGAATCGACCCTAAATTTGTCAAACAATATGATATACAGATGTGATATGAAGCTCCCCACGAGAGAAATAAGCGCTTCTCGCACGCCTGTACGGGGCCACGCTTGTCACGGGAGACGTGCACGACGACGCTAGGGAAACGCGTCGAATATACGCCGTCCCGACGTTTCGGAGCGTTAACGGACAATCTCGTAAGTGGGCGTGTAAGAGCTCGAAAATTGGAAGGTAGGCCGGACCTCGGCCAAATTAACGTTTGGCGATAATATCCGCTCCCTCTCGCTCGTCGTCTCTCTCTCTCTTTCTCTCTCTCTCTCTCTCTCTCTCTCTCTCTCTCCCCCTCTTTCTCTCTTCCGCTTTCTCTCCGGGGTATCCCCGGCCCGGGGTCGGTCGAGCTCGGTACCCTAAGCGCAACAACGGCCCGAGAGGACGCGCGCGCACGAGGGCGTCCGGGCACACGCGTGTGCGCGTGCATGTGAGTGCGCGTGGGCGTATAGGACGTTTCGTTCGCGGCGTGGCCATTCACGAATTTATTAGAGACCGTATATGTACGTGGCAGCCTGAATTACTCGTGATAAAAACGCGCCATTCTTTCGCCCCGAGTTCCCCGACTCCCCCGAGAGCGCAGCAAGAGCAAGAGGTTTTTAGGTCGTCGCCGTCGTCGTCGCGGATAATGTACGCGGAGGAGGCGATACGAGCGAGAGCAGCTTTATCGCCGTTTCCGCCGAAACACGTATAGTCACAAATGTGTTTAACTTTTCGCCCCGCCCGAAACGTTCGCTCCTCTACGGTGGATTTTTTACTCGTCCGATTATTGCCATGCGCCGGGTTAGAGACCGGTGGTTAGGGCGAGTGGCATCTCGTCGCGTCTCTTCCTCTTAATCGCGAAAGTTCGACGGTAATCCGGGCCTTTTTCCGTCGTTCCGCGCCGTTCGTCGTTGACGTTGGCTTTCTCTTTTTTTTTTGTCTCCTCTTTCTCGAGCATCCCGGGCACCAGGAGCTATAAAATAAGATCGCCATTCGCTCCTTCTCTCCTCCATTCTCTTCTTCTAGCCGCCACAAAGAACAACTCTTCTATACGTACACGTCGGCCGGACGTGTTATTGGTAGCCCCGATGTGTGATTTAAAGGATCTCCCTCCCATGAGGAACGGTGTCATTTGCATATACCTACGTATTCGTAGGATCCCTCGAGTACCCTCGTATTAATGTGATACCTCGCCTCGGTTCTTAACAGTTCTTTTCTGGCCTTAGGTAAACACTCGGCATGAATATGTATGCCACCTCGCCAGTGACCCGTCCGAGATTCGAAAATACTACGCAATGGACATGGAGCCTCCCGTTTCATAGTCGCGCGTCTCTATGCGATCCCCGTACACGGTGGATGTTCCTAACGATATATTATTGAACGCGTGTATTATTCGGCGATTCCCCGGCGTCGGTTCGACGCGGCGCGTTGCGACAGAGGATAACGGTGCGTCGGATAGTTAGGAAAACGTGATCGCCATCTCTCTATTGATGGAGATGACTAAGTATGGGATGTCCGCTGGCTTTGGGAACATTATTTACGATTTAATGCAAGATTATTGCTTTTAACTCCAACTTCGAGAGTTTCTTTCTCAGATCACCTTACAAAATAATAATCATATGCTAACCGGTTGTTAGATACGCTTAATCCTGGTATTTTTATGATATTCGTAGCACTCGCAACGTGAACGTGGGAGACATAAAAAGTTGAGAGATAAAGACAAACTAAACATAAATTTATAAAATAATCTTAAGCATAAAAAAAAATAATTTTAAAACCAAGCCAAATATGCTACACATAATTTTTAATATCGCATTATCGCCGAGAGACATCGGTCGAGTGGCAATCTTCCGAGTGATTTCCGTACGAGTGCAAAAGTGGATTTGGTCGCCGACACCGCGCCATAACACTCCACCTCTGACTGTCTTCATTAATTCCCACCACTGTCTAGCCGACGCCAATCAACTACCAAGCGAGCCCTGCGAGAGGGTCTTCCTAATTGGAATCGCGAAAAAGTGGGCGTGTTCCGAACGTTCACCATCGTTTCGAATCGTTCCTGCGGATTTCAGCCATTCGGCGATGGCAATTTTCTGTTCCTCTAATTTCAACGTCGATAACTAAAATTGCGTTTTTTTGACCGCTTTTATTTTGCTGTTCGTATGTATAATGATTTTATATGATTACGATATAGAATTAATTTGGGACGTTAGCTGTCATTCAATTGTCATCTTTGCGCAAAAATAAAATCGAAAAAGATAACTCAAAATGAATTTTTATTACCGCTCGTGTATACCGTTAACAAGTCAACGTTCGCGCTATTACGCGCGCGCGCAACGAGAAAATTACATGTAGCACGCAGGCAGGTTATTTCGATCGTCGGAGTGCATCGGGGAGGGTTAATGCAATCGTCACGATCCGCGCCGTTCGCCGGATTCACGCCGACAATGTTGAAACGAAAGCGCGAACAAAGCGGAGGAGCGGGTTAACCTGCCCGGGACCGAAAGCAAGCAACGAGGCGATACATTCGTCCACAAAGAGCGCCTTTCGTTTCCGATCCTTGACCCTCGCGTGTCGTCAAATTGAAAGAGAGGATCCCGCGGCTCCGCTCCGCGAGGCGCGCGAGATGAACGTCGCGCGCAATTCTCGAAGCGTCGCAACCCCGCGCGCGCGAGCTCGACGGCGGGACAAAGCCTCTCGGTGAGAAACCTCGTCGGGTG